TATCCAGGGAAGGTCATCGGTTCACCCAGGATATCCAGGGAAGGTCATGGGTTTACCCAGGATATCCAGGGAAGGTCATCGGTTTACCCAGGATATCCAGGGAAGGCCATTGTTTCACCCAGGATCTCCAGGGAAGGTCATCGGTTTACCCAGGATATCCAGGGAAGGTCATCGGTTCACCCAGGATATCCAGGGAAGGTCATCGGTTTACCGAGGATGTCCAGGGAAGGTCATTGTTTTACCCAATATATCCAGGGAAGGTCATCGGTTTACCCAGGATATCCAGGGAAGGTCATCGGTATACCCAGGATATCCAGGGAAGGTCATTGTTTTACCCAGGATATCCAGGGAAGGTCATCGGTTCACCCAGCATATCCAGGGAAGGTCATCGGTTTACCCTGGATATCCAGGGAAGGCCATTGTTTCACCCAGGATCTCCAGGGAAGGCCATTGTTTCACCCAGGATATCCAGGGAAGGTCATCGGTTTACCCAGGATATCCAGGGATGGTCATCGGTTCACCCAGGATATCCAGGGAAGGTCATCGGTTTACCCAGGATGTCCAGGGAAGGTCATTGTTTTACCCAATATATCCAGGGAAGGTCATCGGTTTACCCAGGATATCCAGGGAAGGTCATCGGTTTACCCTGGATATCCAGGGAAGGCCATTGTTTCACCCAGGATCTCCAGGGAAGGTCATCGGTTTACCCAGGATATCCAGGGAAGGCCATTGTTTCACCCAGGATATCCAGTCTAAGCCTGTTTCGGAAGTTCCGCTCTGCGTGATGGCTAGTATTATTCTTGACTACCTGGTCCAGTGCTTCTGTATTTTGTACTACCATTATAATGGTACTGCCAAAGAATGTTGTACTGACACAGTATTGCGTACTGCAGTTTTAACTTACAATGCAGCTATTTGGATTGATCTGTAAACCTAATGAATTTAATCATACAATTGTTAATTAATAGCATTTCGGTGGTTTTGTTGGTTTCACACTGAATTCTTTTGGGTATACATATACTTGTTAATGTTCCGATTTTGAAGAGGACACTTAACAATATTAACTGTGTACAAACACAAATACAAGAAATCACTGTAAATTGTCTCTGCTTAGGATTAAGAGTGAGTGAGTGAGTTTAGTTTTACGCCGCACTTAGCAATATTCAAGCTATATGGCGTCGGTTTGTAAATATTCAAGTCTGGATTAAGAGTAAAGACTGGTTTCTTCTTTTCGTGACCAGTGACCACATGCTGCTACAGACAACAATATAAACTGTGGGGATAAATATAGTATACACCAGCGATGGCAGCTACGAATGATACAAAATAAAGATGAATTCGATACTGGTATATAGGAAGTTTGACAAGGTCACGCCAATCAAACCCGTGAGGGCCCGGGTTAGAATTGTTCTTTAGTAACCAATGCTTGTCGTAAGAGGCGACTAATGGGATCGGGTTGTCAGACTCGCTGATTTGGTTCACCACGATCGCGATCGATGCTCATGATGTTGATCACTGGATTGTCTGGTCCAGACTCGATTATTTACCGATCGACGTCATATGGCTGGAATATTGCTGAGTGTGGTGTAAAACGTAACTCACTCACTCACACGAATCAGCCTCGTAACAACAGATCAGCCTAGTAACGTTTTGATAACGATCCCAATTTCTGGGTTCAATATATTGTTCAAGAGAATACCTTCTTAAACGGTTGATTCAAGGACGATACAGGCTAAACCTGTGGATCAGGAAATGGCACAGGTGCTTCGAATTTCCGACGTTTAAATCCACACTTTGATCTGGCGCCATATCAAAGATAAAATACAGATGTTGTTGATAGTGTCATTGTTTCCATGTAAATATGGTTTATATTCACTGATGGATTGGTGAGATAGACTGAGTTGTGGCCTTCAGCGTGGCCTTCAGCGTTTTGTACAATATTAACATAACACTTACATCAAACACGCCGCCTTCTGATATCTCCCACGGTGGCACACAACTGTGCAAAACTGTTACCCCAGCCCCATTGGCTGCATGGTTAGTATACTCCCAAGGGCGCTGAGTTTAAAACAAGTATACAAGATTTACCGTGTTATAATAATAATGTAGCGTTATAGCAATTCAGTTGTGAAAGTAAATTAGCGATTAATTAATGATAGCAATGGAACTACCCGCGTGTATTACACACTTACTCGGGTCTTTCATAGACATTTTGAATGTCTTAAAACATGAAGACGCATTACGAAAATATATCTTTATTGTCACGGCTACTTCATGCAAATATATCAGATACACTCTTCAAAAAAGAAACGCATAAGCCTTTATTAGAAGAATGTATTGCGTGAGTATAAGGGGAATTAAAAAGGTGAAAATTCACACGTATACAGACAAAGAGTTCGCCAACACAACAGCAGTCTTTATTGTTCTGTTTATGTTGAATCGAGTCTACAACATGGCGTCAAAGTCAATACTTTGCATGGTTACCACTGGCAGCGATTATTGCTCGGCACCGTCTCGGCACAGACTGGATAAGTCGACGAAGTCGCTCTTGCGGAATTCTTCCCCACTCTTGCTGCAATGCGATGGCCAGTTGTGGGAGCGTCTGAGGCGTGTTTTGACGTTGACGTACACGTCTATCGGGTTTAGATCTGGAGGTCGGGAAGGCCATGACAAGACATTGACGTTAGAACTGGCAAGGTAGCTGACCGTGCTGTATGTGAAGTAGCGTTGTCATGCTGGTACAACTCCCTCTGGCAGTCCATACTCGGAAGCATGTGACGGGCAAGGACTTTGTTGATGTACCGATTTGCTGTCAAATTCCCCTGAACCACCACTAAATCAGATATTTGTGTGCTGGGTATCGCATCCCACACCATGACACTGTCTCCACCGAATCTGTCGACCTGTCGAAAGCAATTAGGGGCTAAACGTTCATTTCTCCGACGGTAAACACGCTGTCTTTCATCACGCCCGTGAAGAAGAAATCGTGATTCATCAATGAACCAGACTTACCATCTAGTTTATAAGGTTCCAGTTTCGGACTCTACAACACCACCGTATGCGATTGCGCCGATGGAAGTCTCTTAAAACAGGGGCGACAAACGGCCTTCTTGGTCGAATCCCTACGATTCCTGACAGGCATGCGCTGTGCACTGCTATAGCACGACGATGATGCAAGTGAGCAGCCCGGATGTAGCGGAGCTGGGCTTGGGTGGTAACACTTGGACGGCCACATCTCGGGCGAAATTGGTCTGCAGGAAACGATCCCAAAGGCGAGATATGGTGCTTTGATGTCGGCAACTGCTGACTGCGACTCCCCAGCTTCAAGGCGGCCTATGACAGTGTTTCGATTGGCGACACTCAGTCGTGGCATGATGATTTCTCTTTTCCAGGCAAAAACGAATGACAAAACTAAACACAACGTTTGTCTTTTATAGTAATCGATACCAGATGCTTTACCGTTTTCTTGCACGTGCATTGTGCTTTGTGTGCTGTCTTGGTGAATATTTGGCGAATATTTCTTCAAACGCTTCTAAAACATGGGGAAAAGTTACAATTGCCGCGTTTTGGCGCTGAAGCTGTTTACAATCACACAAAGATGGCGTTTTGGAAAGAAATAGTATATTTGTATTGTTTTGCCGCAGAGTCCAATATTCTCAAAATCATCTATGCATTTCTTTTTTTTTTGAAGAGGGAAAATTGTTAATAACGCTTTTCCAGGTTGCTGATTTTTGTTGTTATTGTTTGTTGTTAAACGTTAAACTCAGCAATATTCTAGCCATATGGCGGCGGTCTGTAAATAATCGAGGCTGGACCAGACAACCAAGTGATCAACAGCATGAGCAACGATCTGCACAATTTGGATTTGATGACATGTGTCAACCAAGTCAGTTCTCTTGAATCAATTATGTATTTCATAATTAGACGTATTAAAAGGCTTATAGAATTAGTTTACAAATAATCCATTATCTCGTGTAGTTTATTCTCTAAAACGTCGCCAACAGTATGCACGACGAATCCTACAGGCTTCTGCCACAGTGCTTATCACATATCATTTTTCAGGTTCGCCATGAAAGTGCTTGTTGTCCTATTTGCTGTTGTGGCCTCTGCTTTCGCAGCTGGGTGAGTGTTGACATTTTGAGCTCCATCCATGAAGTCACATTAACGATATTAACGCTCACGATTAGATAAATAATTCCACCTCAATTGATATAAAATATATTCCACCTCTGGATCATAATGAAATCACATCACGGTCACGTCTTATTTATACAATTTGTGTATAACCTTCCGACATTTGCAATTTAGCGGTTCTCAATTCTGTGTCATATGAAGCAATGTGACGTCGTATTGTTTCATGTTCTGAGAAAATACTATATGACGTCATCATTATTCATGATTACGTCATCTGGGTGATTTTACGAAATAACTTACTAAGACTGTCGTAAGTCTATGTTCAGGTATGGAAGTTAGGATCATCGGATGGTGCCGATTTGGAGATTTTACGAGCGCTTTCAGACATAATGCGTATTTCGAACACTTAATTCATCACACTGAAGACACATATGGGTACATTGTGTGAAATCCATTTCTGGAGGTCACTGGAATATCGCTCAAATAGCCGTAAAACCATACTCACACACCACCCAACTGTAAAAGCGCTGACTGCGGCATTAAGCAGCATTCAACCCAGCTTCGTGTTAAGAATATCACAGAGAATTGCGTTGTTTCCAGCGATGCCACTAGCGATGCTGTTGCCAAGTTCAAGGCCACCATCAAAGCCCAAGTCGAAGCACTCTTCCTTAGTGCCGACACAAATAAGGATGGGCAATTCGACAAGGCAGACATGGTCTCACTCTTCATCGACTACGATCCCAACGGTAAGACTACACCACTTGATCTGATTATCCTTCAATTCCTTGTCTCTACACTAAACCCGACATATACTGAGAGAAACAAATAAAGGAACACAAGAAACTTCAAGTTTCAAGTTAATACTTTCCAGTTTCATCACCAGCTTTGAATAGCCCCGGGGAAGGAAATCTGAGAATAAATAAAGGAACACTGTCATGAAGTGGCGTTCCCTTATTTGATCCCTCAGTATATTAACTTTGCATGGGTTCGCAAACATATTGGACAATGACAGTCTCGGTTACTCATGCACCTAAGGCGCACTGCAGAGCTGCGTTCCTCAAATATGCCATGAATCTGTTGAACCTCGTTCAGGGTTTGCCGGCGCTGTTACGAAAGCCTATTGCTTCCATGGCCTCCTTTCACAAAGCACTAAAGTGATCGTAAGTCACTAAGGTAACCTTAGTGCAGTGTTAAAGAATGGGAGTTAAGGTCAACCTTTGTAAAGGTTGCTTCGTGTCCCTGGTAACATAAATCAGGGCTCCGACCCTGAGGATAATGGACCCCAATTGCTTGTTGTTAAAGGACACTGAGGTGATTGGGTGGACCCTCTCGATGACTTGCTGTCATCGTATCAGAATGCTCATGATGTACTCTTGATGTGCTCTTGATGGACCATCAACATAGAGCTGCGGCGTAAAACAACAAACAAACGATCAAACATTATCCCCTTCGACCAAGGGCGTAGCTACCATTACGCAAAAAGCCCGGGCTTACACATGATTGTTGGTAAAATGGTTGGGCAAGCCCTCACTACTTTCTAAATATGAAGTCTGATCTTTGCAGGCGATAAGAAAGTGACGGAGAAAGAGTTCGTGGACAAGTTCACCGGAAACCAGAAGTCACTTTCTGTCATCGCTAAGGGCCTCTTCTTGGAACTCGATATGGACAGGAACGGTGGAATTACGGACTCTGACCTTGACCTTTACTTCAAGAAGATTGACCAAAATGGTACGTAAAAGTTGCAGTGATAGCTATAATATCTTCGTTTTAATTTAATTTTATCGAGGGATATGGATGGATATATTTTGAGAAGACGCCTTGAGAATCTTCCTTGATGGTTTGTAGTTTTCATAGGTGTAAAATATCAACGATGTATCGGTCCACAGTACTCAGAGAGGCTCGGGGATTACGTTGACTGTGTGGGACCTTGCTCACTATATCAACCACTGGTTTGTATGGTACAGCATAATAAACTGGGTTCTGAGGTTTCAGCGACACAAATTAAAAGAAGAAGGAATCATATCATGAAATTTGCTATCAAGTTGAGAGAACCTCAGATTCTCAAAAATTTGACGTTCAGGGTGCGGTTGTAAAAAGCAACCTTAGCGCTACGCCAGTCCTAAGTCTATGTTAAGGTATGGGAGTTACGATCACCTTAGTGCTAAGACCGCTTTGTACAACGGCATCCTGGTTAACACAGCTTAGTGCGTGGAGGTTTTCAGTGTATTTCAAGAGTGATCAGGTTATCGAATCTCAAACATGACAAAATGTTTCAGATGATGGCAAGGTTGAGAAGAGCGAATTCACGAAATATTTCACTGAGGTGAGTGTTTTGTGAAGATTTACAGCATGGTGTACCTGAAACCTCTTACATGCTCCAGATACAAGAAACCATGACACTCACATGTTCACACACCAGGTAACCATGACACTCACATGTTCACACCTCAGGTAAGCATGACACTCACATGTTCACACCCCAGGTAAAAAAAGACACTCACATGTTCACATCCCAGGTAACCATGACACTCACATGTTCACATCCCAGGTAAGCATGACACTCACTTGTTCACACCCCAGGTAACCATGACACTTACATGTTCACACCCCAGGTAAGCATGACACTCACATGTTCACAACCCAGGTAACCATGACACTCACATGTTCACATCCCAGGTAACCATGACTCTCACATGTTCACATCCCAGGTAACCATGACACTCACATGTTCACATCCCAGGTAACCATGACACTCACATGTCCCCACCTCAGGTAACCATGACACTCACATGTTCACACCCCAGGTAAGCATGACACTCACATTTTCCCACCCCAGGTAACCATGACACTCACATGTTCACACCACAGGTAAACATGATACTCACATGTTCACATCCCAGGTAACCATGACACTCACATGTTCACATCCCAGGTAACCATGACACTCACATGTTCACATCCCAGGTAACCATGACACTCACATGTTCACATCCCAGGTAAGCATGACACTCACATGTTCACATCCCAGGTAAGCATGACACTCGCATGTTCCCACCTCAGGTAACCATGACACTCACATGTTCACACCCCAGGTAAGCATGACACTCACATGTTCCCACCCCAGGTAACCATGACACTCACATGTTCCCACCCCAGGTAACCATGACACTCACATGTTCACACCCCAGGTAAACATGATACTCACATGTTCACGTCCCAGGTAACCAGGACACTCACATGTTCACTCCCCAGGTAAGCATGATACTCACATGTTCACACCCCAGGTAACCATGAAACTCACATGTTCACATCCCAGGTAAGCCTGACACTCACATGTTCACATCCCAGGTAAGCATGACACTCACATGTTCACATCCCAGGTAACCATGACACTCACATGTTCACATCCCAGGTAACCATGACACTCACATGTTCACATCCCAGGTAACCATGACACTCACATGTTCCCACCCCAAGTAAGCATAACACTCACATGTTCCCACCCCAGGTAAGCATGATGCTCACATGTTCCCACCCCAGGTAAGCATGACGCTCACATGTTCAGATCCCAGGTAAGCATGGCACTCACATTTTGACACCCCAGGTAAGCATGACACTTTTATTTTCTCGTCCCAAGTTACCATAACACTCACGTGTTCTCGTCCGAGGTAGCCATAACACTCACATGCCCGAGGTAGCAATAACACTGACGTGTTCCCGCCCGGGAAGCCATAACATTCAGGTGTTCCCGACCGTGGTAGCCATAACACTGACGTGTTCCCACCGAAGTAGCCATAACAGTCACATGTTCCTGCCCGAGGTAGCCATAACACTCACGTGTTCCCGCCAAGGTAGCCATAACACTCACATGTTCCTGCCCGAAGTAGAAATAACACTCAAGTGTTCCCGCCAAGGTAGCCGTAACACGTGTTCCCGACCGAGGTAGCCATAACATTCAGGTGTTCCCGACCGCGGTAGCCATAACATTCAGGTGTTCCCTTAACATTCAGGTGTTCCCAACCGAGGTAGCCATAACATTCAGGTGTTCCCGACCGCAGTAGCCATAACATTCAGGTGTTCCCGACCGCGGTAGCCATAACACTCAGGTGTTCCCGACCGCGGTAGCCATAACATTCAGGTGTTCCCGACCGCAGTAGCCATAACATTCAGGTGTTCCCGACCGCGGTAGCCATAACATTCAGGTGTTCCCGACCGCGGTAGCCATAACATTCAGGTGTTCCCGACCGCGGTAGCCATAACATTCAGGTGTTCCCGACCGCGGTAGCCATAACACTCGCGTGTTCTTGCCTCTGTGTTTCAGGTCTTCACTATCCTGTACATCCTTGAAATCAGGCAACAGGCAGCCACAACAGCAGCAGCATCGGGTTAAGGAGTGCAACTTGTGTATCTATATACTGAACTATCTAGGGACAACCTATATAAATTCTTGAACTTCTGATTTGATGTGTTGTCTCCAGTATGAACACAACAGGGATATCAAAGGTACTGATATATATAAAAGTGGACTAATGGAGGAGAGATATGTGTTAGTGTAATGAAACGGTTAGTGTGAGGGTTAATGGAAGGGTTAGTGTGAGGGGTTAATGGAAGGGGTTAGTGTGAGGGGTTAATGGAAGGGGTTAGTGTGAGGGGTTAATGAAAGGGGTTAGTGTGAGGGGTTAATGGAAGGGGTAGTGTGAGGGGTTAATGGAAGGGGGTAATGTGAGGGCTTAATGGAATGGACAAGGTTACTGTGAGGGCTTAATGGAAGAGGATAGTGTGAGGGGTTAATGGAAGAGGTTATTGCAGGGGTTAATGAAAGAGGTTAGTGTGAGGGGTTAATAGAAGGGGTTAGTGTGAGGGATGGTTAATGGAAGGGGTTAGTGTGAGGGGTGGTTAATGGAAGGGGTTAGTGGGAGGAGTTAATGGAAGAGGTTATTGCAGGGGTTAATGCAAGAGGTTAGTGTGAGGGGTTAATGGACAAGGTTATTGTGAGGGCTTAATGGAAGAGGTTAGTGCGAGGAGTTAATGGAAGCAGTTATTCCAGGGGTTAATGAAAGAGGTTAGTGTGAGGGGTTAATAGAAGGGGTTAGTGTGAGGGATGGTTAATGGAAGGGGTTAGTGCGAGGAGTTAATGGAAGGGGTTAGTGTGAAGAGTTAATGGAAGGGGTTAGTGTGAGGGGTTAATGGAAGAAGTTATTGCAGGGGTTAATAAAAGAGGTTAGTGTGAGGGCTTAATGGAAGGGGTTATTGCAGGGGTTAATGAAAGAGGTTAGTGTGAGGGGTTAATAGAAGTGGTTAGTGTAAGGGGGGGGGGGTTAATGGAAGGGGTTAGTGTGAGGAGTTAATGGACGAGGTTATTGCAGGGGTTAATGCAAGAGCTTAGGGTGAGGGATTAGTGTGAGGAGTTAATGGAAGGGGTTATTGCAGGGGTTAATGAAAGAGGTTATTGCAGGGGTTAATGCAAGAGGTTAGTGTGAGGGGTGGTTAATGGAAGGGGTTAGTTTGAGGAGTTAATGCAAGGGGTTAGTGTGAGGAGTTAATGGAAGGTGTTAGTGTGAGGAGTTAATGGACGAGGTTATTGCAGGGGTTAATGCAAGAGGTTAGTGTGAGGGGGTATTGTGAGGAGTTAATGGAAGGAGTTATTGCAGGGGTTAATGCAAGAGGTTAGTGTGAGGGGTGGTTAATGGAAGGGGTTAGTGTGAGGGGTTAATGCAAGAGGTTAGTGTGAGGGGTCAATCGAAGGGGTTGGTGTGAGGGGTGGTTAATGGATGGGGTTAGTGTGAGGAGTTAATGGAAGGCGTTAGTGTGAGGAGTTAATGGAAGAGGTTATTGCAGGGGTTAATGTAAGAGGTTAGTGTAAGGGTTAATAGAAGGGGTTAGTGTGAGGGGTGGTTAATGGAAGGGGTTAGTGTGAGGGGCTAATGGAAGGGGTTAGTGTGAGGAGTTAATGCAAGAGGTTAGTGTGAGGGGTGGTTAATGGAAGGGGTTGGTGTGAGGAGTTAATGGAAGGGGTTAGTGTGAGGAGTTAATGGAAGGTGTTAGTGTGAGGAGTTAATGGACGAGGTTATTGCAGGGGTTAATGCAAGAGGTTAGTGTGAGGGGTTAGTTTGAGGAGTTAATGGAAGGAGTTATTGCAGGGGTTAATGAAAGAGGTTATTGCAGGGGTTAATGCAAGAGATTAGTGTGAGGGGTGGTTAATGGAAGGGGTTAGTGTGAGGGGTTAATACAAGAGGTTAGTGTGAGGGGTCAATTGAAGGGGTTAGTGTGAGGGGTGGTTAATGGAAGGGGTTAGTGTGAGGGGTTAATGCAAGGGGTTAGTGTGAGGGGTCAATTGAAGGGGTTAGTGTGAGGGGTGGTTAATAGAAGGGGTTAGTTTGAGGGGTGGTTAATGGAAGCGGTTAGTGTGAGGGGTGGTTAATTGAAGGGGTTAGTATGAGGGGTGGTTAATTGAAGGGGTTAGTGTGAGGGGTGGTTAATTGAAAGGGTTAGTGTGAGGGGTCAATTGTAGGGGTTAGTGTGAGGGGTGGTTAATTGAAGGGGTTAGTTTGAGGGGTCAATTGAAGGGGTTAGTGTGATGAGTTATTGTAAGGACCAGCTTCCTTGACAAATTCCACAGGGAATGATTTTGTCTGGACCTGTTGGGACCCCACTTTACCATGTCCATACAAATTTACCAGAGTAAAATGTGTGCATGTGTGTACAGACATGTGCATGCTTGCAAGTGTGCGTGTGTGTGAGTGTGGGGTGGGTGGGGTGTGTGTGCGTGCGTGCGTGCACGTGCATATGCTGCTGTGTGTATTGTCTCCTCTTATAGAAATATGGTCTAATGGACTGTGCCAGCTCACTGAGATGCCATGTCACAGTTTAACATGAATACCTCACTCAGACACTGTGGACAGACTCTTGTCCAACCATAGCCACATAATGACTGGAGGATAATGACACCAGGCTAGATAATGACATGCATATTCTTTCAAATTCTTCTGCTCACAGTAGGTCCACATTAGCATAATGTGGTCACATGATCCTGCCACACAAAAGGGACACAACTCTGCACAGCAATTTGCAGTGGATTAAATGTCTGGCCGAAGTTACCTGGTCACATGATTCTGGCACACAAAATGGACACAACTTGACAGAGCAAACAACAGTGGCTTAGATGTCTGACCAACCAGGCCTCCAAACTGTATCCACAAAAAGACACACACATACATTTGATTCCAGCTTTCTCTTTATTTTGGAACAAATAAATTACACCACAAGAGATGATAAATTAATGGCAGATATTTCACAATAACTGTTAACAAAATAAGATCACTGGTTGCTAATGACACTCTAGATCTAGCTCCACTACAGGTTGTGCTGCACCTTGCACTTCATTCCCCCATGTTCAATCAAAAATAATTTTCTATATTCTTTCTTTATTCAAAATTTGTAATAATTATTGAGTAATATTGGACATTAGTACTGTAAAAGAATTGGGTGTATTAATATGTAACATTTTGTGTGAAATTATTTGCATTTACTGACTTAAGTAGAGATAATTTCGGCACTGTTCCTTGACAATATATAATGGTATTTGCGGCTGTTTGGGATCTGATTAATTGACGATGTAGTCAACCAAACCAAACTTACAACAGTTGCCTGTTTATTTCAACTTTTTCATTGTTTAAACTAAAATATTGAGGATATTTATTGCTTAATGGAACATAGGATTTGGAATTACATATATAATGATGATTTGATCATGAGGCACTAGAGTCAGTTTCATCATCATCATCATCATCATCATCATCATCATCATGAGAAACTGAGGAACAGCCACATAACTGCATGGAGCTAAATACTAGACTATAATGTGGATTTCCTTTCAACAAAACACAGACGACAGAAATTTGAACTTTCACAAGAGACCATGTTTCACCTTCCAACTTATCCACAAGCCTTCCTGGCTGTTTTACCCTAAAACCAACCATCAAATAAATAAAAATTGATCTCTTCAAATAAAACAACCTTTCCACTATGAAACAGGCATAAAGAAAGGGGCATGTCATGGCTTATAATTCGTATCATAAGGATGTGTTGCCAAATGTGTTCACATACGAGCATGTCAACTACCAACTGTTGACACAGATGTCACACTTGATGGAGGTCCTGTACTGTACACGGAGGTCTTATGTAGGAACTTTAGTATGGTATTTTCAGATATTCTACCAAGCAAATAAATTCAACTGTTTTCATAATATTTTACAAAACAGCTACAAAACACTGTATATGTACAAAGTGCTGTAATACATTCAAAGTAACTTAAGTGCAACTTTGATACTTTTGAATTTCTTAAATGAAATATAAATATATCTTGTCAAGATTCAAGTGTTAGTATCAATTGGTAGGCCATGAAAACACAAATGAAAATCAATTGTAATTAAGTTATAGCCATTAAAAATTTACATATGTATATTTTCACATGCAGGTGTGCGCGAAAGGATGGAGACGGCACAGCACAGGTAAATGACTCAATCACTTTGTCGGCACTTGTGCACGTGCTTCTCGTACACCTGGCTGTTCATCTCAATGAACTCCTTCAAGCCCACAAGAACAGCGCATCTGGCATATGCAAATGAGCCTCACAGTGACCCTAATGCAGCTGATATTGTACCCCAGATCATAACGCTGTCAACTCAACTATCTCTTTCAAGAACACATGGCCTGATGTAACGTTCACCCGGGCAGCTGTTGACACGTGTCAGCCGCCAGCTCCTTGACGTGTCTGCTCCTCTGGACGTCGATATTGGAATTGGTGGTCGGGTTGGGCGTCTTGCACGGATACAGTAGACGCTTAGCCATCGCCGAATTGTCCTCTGTTGCACCTCCGTTGCAACGTACGGCTGCAAGTGTTGCTGGAACCTGTGTCAGAGGTGTGTGGTTTGAATCCACCGGCTATGACTCGATACTGGTGCGTCGGTCTATAACTGGATTGTTTGGCTGAAAACGTCGCCATACTTGCCAAATTGTATTTCTATGGACGTTGAATCGACGACCACCGTCACGCTGCGAGGTACCACACCTAAGCATACTACAGCCCTCAGCTGTCAGTTTCCTCGAGGCGTGGTATGTCGAACTTGTTCCAGAACGATGAAAATAAAGGTGTTCTTCTGACTTCTGCACGTGTCTGGCGTTTTAATGTGAACATTGCTGGCCATTTTTCTCGAATACTGGTATGTCATGCTTCTTGCAACTTTCGCGCTGTTCGAACAACTATTTCGTTGCGTTCTTCGACCATTTTAACACCCCCTTTCACTAGTTCAAATCCAGAATTACATTCACAAGATTACCAATGAAAAACGTTTATGTCACAATAGCTTTGCCTATGAGTATAACTACAAGCTATAGCGTCCCCAACAGAATATGTATACATACTCTCACAAAAGCAAACAAAGGTGATATTGACATATGACATTTTAAATGTTTATCCAAATTAGTGTTTGATTGTTATAATTTCGCCATAATAATGGTGGTTTGTGTGCATTGAACCAGTGCACAGCGCACAAACGCCTCTTCGGAACTTTAATGCACGTTTACGTTCGGAAGCTGGTGTCGAAACTTGCATGAAAATGTCATGGAGAAAAAGTGGTTCGCAATATGCATCGTTAGTAGGGACATTGTCTAAATAAGGCGCTGCTGCTCTCAGACGTTCGTTGGCATTTTTAGGCTAAAGACAGAATGTCGTTCTATCTCGATTCACTGCTGTAAATGGAAACATTGCCATTGGAAGTCTGGAGGCTGGGGAGTCTCAATCTGCCGTTGGACGAAACCTCTTTGTTCACCAGAGTACCAATGTTTCCCAGAGTTTATGAGACCGATATCAACAAACCAGCTCTACGCAAGATCGGCCTCGAAGTGGTAGACCTCGGATTACATCCGGATAGGTACATCCGGGTACTTCATTATCGGAATCGAACTGTCAAAGCAACTGCAACTGCGTTTACGAGAAGCTGGACTTCGAGGCAGAAGTCCCTATTTTGGCCGAGTACATCGACGTCGACGGGTCCAGTGGTGCAATAACGTTCAATTCTTGAATCTACTAAACTGGCGACGTGTATGGTTCAGAGACTAATCCCGCTTTCTGCTACAGTGACGTGCACGTGTTTATCGACGTCAAAAGGTTTTGCCCCGAATTGTGTCGCCCAGGTTGACCGATATGGTGGTGTGAGTGTCATGATGTGGGAGACCATGATGTACAGAGACGAAATCCTAAGGATTCACGTGGTTCCGTTCAGTGACTGCCAGAGTGAATTGTGCCACTATTCAGGATCTTTAGAATGAGAATATTACCGATCTCAACCCCATTTGCAGGATGACCACGGATGACGCATACGTGATCAACTGTAGCAGGCATTGCAATGTGAATGGGACAGAATTCCGAAAGGTGGTGAAATTATTCAGTTCATGCCGAGACGTTGCAGAGCAGTTTTGGAGACTCATGGTGGCCACAACAGATATTGAAGGCAACGCCCAGCCCTGTGCCGTAACGACTTGACCTGGGGTTCTAACGATTTGATTGGATAACCGATGACCTCTCAATTAGGTCACGTTGTGACGGAACTACTTTCTCATTCATAACAAACACGTGGGAACGAACGCCTTCACATACTGAACTTTTTATAAGCTATACATGTTAACAGACATTTGATCTTTTATACTGTAAAATTTCGCTGCAACTGATCCAGAATTACATGCGTTATCTCACTTTAAAGTAAGCAGATTACATTCGCGAAAATACACCTACGCGTTTCTTTATGGGAAGAGTATATGTTGTATTTCTGGTATAAACCGCTTATCAGAGTCTACAAAAAATTTCTACTGGTATTAGGAGATAGGCTAGTACTACTCTGTAAACTAATACCAAACTCTGAGACAAAACTGACACAACCGTGGCTCATAGAAGTATACACGCTTCCAACAGATAACAATTATTCTGGGGTCATCTTATCGTTATCTATAAGCTTGCATGTTGTTCTGCAGTATTTCCTTTGTATTGTGACTGGTATCAAGACAAGTAAGAACACTTTATTTCTTTTCATATAAGGGGCGGTGGGGTAGCCGAGTGGTAAAAGCGTTGGCTCGTCACGCCGAAGACCCAGGTTCTATTCCCCACATGGGCACAATGTGTGAAGCCCATTTATGGTGTCCCCTGCCCTGGGATTGCTGGAATATTGCTAAAAGCGGCGTAAAACCACTCAACTCTTTGCATATAACTATAGTTTATCTGGAATGGTTGGTGGGTATACTCAAATCAGCTCTTATTCTGTCATGGATACACATCTCCTTGAACGTTACAACTAACTGTTTAATCGAATATTTCTGTCGTGATCTTGTATGGGCTTCACACATTGTACATATGTGTGGAATTGAACCCGGGTCTTCGGCGTGATGAGCGAATACTTAAAGGTCACATGCAACCAAAAAATCAAACATAATTAAAACACAATTATCACTTCTTCATGACATATAATATGCATTGCTGATTATGAAAAAACAAACAAACAAAATTATAAGCGTATAATCGCAAATCAAAAGTGCAATATTTTGTACTTGGGTTTACCTCCCTCGAAACGAAGCCGCCGGGATACCGAACCCAGTCAGAGCGGGTGGGTGTGCACTCAAGTGTAACGGCTGGTTCATTAGCTGATACCGCCTTCACGGCTAATTGTGTGTGTGTATATATAGAAAGTTGGGTTTTGTAAATACATGCTCATTTTTTGTGTATAACATTTTGCAATCAACAGACATCATAACATGTCATGTGTTCAAGTATCACACCTGCCTGTCTGTGTAATTACATAATGTGACAGAGACCGAACTCGGGCCATAAATCAATGCGTTTTGTTTATGGTGTATAGTCTGATTGGTGTTAAGTTCAAATTGCATGTGGTCAGTGATCGCAGTTGTGTATTGAATATTGTCATTAGCAGACAGGCAGGCAGACACACAGGTGTCAATAAAACAAGACATTGAGTTTTGTCTGTGACAGCGACATATCTATATCACAGTTAGAAATTGTGTCAACTCTAAATAATGACATTGCTTTTAAGTATCGAACTGAGAAAGTGACTCGGTAAGAAGAACGTGTGGTGAAATAGACAAATGAAATTATATAAACTGTTTATTTACTGTCATAACATACAAAAGCTCGCGCTTGTGAGATATCAACAAAACATTAGGAAAATAGCTCACACCAAAGCCTTCACCGAGTATTCACAAGACAGCCCGCTTCCAAGTTGCGCGAACCTATTTCACTGCGCACGTGCTATGAGCGCAGCCCAGCTGTTGAAACCCGTGTTCCCCAGAAAAGTCTGGGGAAAATTAGTGAAACGTTTGAACTCCGATTTCGCGCGTTTTTTTTCATCGCGTTATTTTTCAACTTTATAAGCTGAATTTGCATTTTTGACGCTTTGTTTCGGTAAGTCCATACCGAAAGGTATCAGAATCTGCAAAGTTGTGTTTTACGTTGCATGTGCCCTTTAACCACTAGGCTACCCCACCGTGCCGTGTGTTTAACACGTGTATGCGACTTGCACATGCCTTTTCATCACACTGTCCAGCATTTGGTACCCACTGAGATGAAATTTCCAACGTTGAAGTATGAATAAGTGGGAAATTGCTTTCTCCTAGCGGTGTGTAACTACAGCCACGTGACTGGCGATTCCGCCAGGTGGCGTTGATTAAGGGTATATATAAGGTTGATGAATTTAAATTCGTTCTCTCGCTTGTGCAAACAAGACCGTACATCTTTAAAATGGACACAGACGCCAAATTAGACGCCATGTTGAAACAGCTGAATGCTAATAAAGATCAACTGGAAGAATCCTTTAACTCCCAGCTCGGTGCTTTACGACAAGAGTTTAGTCAAGCTTCTACTGATTTGAAGAAACTCAAAGCTGAAAAGGATTATACGTGGTCAAGGGAAGGAAATAAAATACAGTACAATTTCAACAGTGAGATAGTAGATTCTTTGAATACAGTTCTTTTGTCGATTCAGAATCAACGTTATGAAGAGGTTGAGACGGTTCTGACGTCAGCGATAGAAAGTGTTCAGAAAAGAAATAAGCACATCAAAATTGCGGATTCTAGTGAAGGGGGCTGGGAAACTGTGAGAAACTATGTTGCTAATGATCTCGCTGATGATTCTGACGATGACAATAGGATTACTTCGGCTGAAAACAAGGCAGTCAGGAAACTTCGTCAAAAGCGTGCACGCCAATCACCGTACTCCACATCTAGGTCAGCTCGCCGCTCGTCGACGGTCGCTCGGCCCGTACAGTTTGCTGTGCAGCCTGTTCCTGCTCTTCAGCCTAGCCAGCCTGCTCTTTTTCGTGCAAAAAGTCAAAGGTCAGGTTAATGCTTCACCTGCGGTGAGTTCTCGCACTACCGACGAGACTGTCCCTACAGCGTCAGTACATCTAAAGCCTCGGTGGTCACAGGCGGAGTCTCGACCCCAGTCAACAAATAGTCAAGATCTGTCAGTTAAGTATTCTC